AATAAATAAATAAATAAATAAATAAAAATGGTCAAAAGACCTAACGAGACAGACACAGAACCAAGTACCATCAGCTCAACTATCTGGAGTCTCTTCATCCTGCCCAGTGCTTCTCTCTGCCACATCAGTTGTGTTCCTGCAATGAGATCTTCTAGACCCCCAAAATGCCATATTTTCTCTCTCAGCTTGCCCAATGCCCCCCAGTAAAGCTGTGGTGAGAGGCAGTGCAGGATGCTGGTACTGCTAGTAAAGATCTGTAAGGAAGAAGGGCCTTACCACTTCTGGGAGCAGCCTTGTTGAGAGGTCATGGATGGCTTTGACCACTATACATATGGATGACAGAAGGAATATCACCCCCAGGATGACACAGGCTCTGCAAAAAACAAAACAATGAGAATCTTAACTGGGAGAACTCCACACTGCTGAAGAGTTGGCACAATTGACTGTGACAAGGACACAACCTGGGAATTAGATTTAACTCTAATTTGCCACATCCTCAGGGTAAACACCACAGTGGTTATAAAATTCAGGGTTTTATCACCAAAGTCAACCTCATGAGAAAGAAGCTCACCATCCTATATAACCTCACAGCATCCCAAATGCTGGCATGGAAGGGTCCTCAAGGCCATGAAATTCATCTCCCTTGTCTCGCAAACACCATGTTTCATTCCTCCTTGAGGTGGAAGGTGCAGAGTTTAACAGCAAAGAGTGCAGGCTCTGGCATGAGACATCCCCAGCTCTACCATTTAACTTGTTGCATGATCTTGGTTAAGGAACTGAACCTCCCTTCGCCTCTATTTCCTCACCTTTCAAATGGGAATATTTCCTACCTAAAGACGAAATAAGATGATGCACAAATCATAAAAAAGTAACCCACTAATGTTAGCTTAAACAAAGGAAAAGTCTACCCTGGATGTCTCTTTCCAGTAGGATATGACACGTTTGGATTTTCCCAAAGATAAAAAGGAGGAATGATTTGGTAATGACAAAGGACAGTGTTTATGGTAAGATGGAGAGATTCTAAAAAAAGAAATGAGAGAACAAAGGATGAGGTCAACTGAGATGCCCAGCACAGGAGCAGGCAGGAGCGAGTCAGGGATCAGCTAAGGGTGAAGCCAGAGGACACAGGGCTGGGGAGGTGGGGGGGGTGGCTGGCAAGGAAGTCTATGGGACTCGGGACATAGGAGAAGTCTCTGACAACCCAGGTACATCAAATCTCATCTCAGGAGAAAGGAAGAAGGAAAATGGAGGTCAACATGAGGAAATGATGATATTAACACAAGAGTTAAAATACCAAATGAAAATGGAGAAAGAAAAGAGAAAAAATACAAGAATGACTACAGTTAGCCCTGGATCATTCCTGTCCCAGCCTGATGTCTCCATCATTTGGCAGCCTACTTGGCCCTCTTTCCCCAGCTATCAAATAACAAGTTTTCATTATCCATCTTAGAGTCCCTTCTCTGGACTAACAGAATGGCCCCAAATTGCTTGCCTAACTTTTAAGTGACACCTACCCATCACCCTAATAAGCCTGGGGAGACACGAGCCCTCACATTTACACGTCAAGAAAAATGAGAGGTGAACAAGGCTGGTAGAAAAAAAAAAAGAAGGCAGGTAAACAAGTCTGCTTGGAGATCACTCGGTAGGCCTCTAATCCACACTCTTGTTATAGGCTATATTCTTTCAAAAACACTGACTAAGGAAGGAAGTGCTGCAGGCTGTAGCAAGACACAAAAAAGAAGAGAGAGATGGACGGGAAAGGAACGAATGAGTTAGAGATCTTGGCACAGACCTGAGCCAATGGATGACCCTCTGTGGGTACCACAAACCCTCGTGATGTGCCCCGGCGGTGGGGGGCATACACTCATGGGGGAGGAAGGCTAACCCAGACAACGAGTACCACCTGATGAAGCTAATGTGAGACGGTGTGCCTGGGGCTGAGAACCACCATCCTAACGGGGCTCAGGGACAGAAGGGGCCACAGCTGGAAGGGGATCATGGAGGAGCAGGGTACACCCACCAGACGGCCCTTTAGTGACTAGATACTGGACCAAAAACAGGGATCCCAGGGCTTGGGGATCCATGTTCCCAAAGCAATGGCTCCTTAGAACTGGCTGTGCCCATCTGGAAGACGGGTCGGCTATGGGCCAAGTGTGCTCAGCACTAGAAGTAAGCATTTCTACCTGCGAGCAAATGGGCCAGGAGAGTTCCCTTTCTCCATTCACAAAACTCTTGAGTGATTTGCAGAGTCTCTATCTTTAATTCACCTTTTCAGGTAAATTCAACCACCAACCAACTCAGAGCTTGCCAGCCCTGAGGGCACACTGCACTCACCTGGGGATTTATCGCCTTTGTTGTTAAAGCTGCCTGGGAACCAGGGAAACAGTCCAGTTCAATTTCATCAGAATCTCCAGGGGTGAACCCAAGCCTCTGCATTCAGTTGAAAGCTTCCCAGGCAATTCTAACGTGCACAGGGCCCAGAGGCGTGGCCTAGACCTGGATGAGGTCCTGTCCCTCACTGGAGCTTCCAGGCCGGGGTAAAATCACAAGACTCCCTGGGACAGAGGCAGAGAGGGAACGGTCATCCCAGCTGGTGAGGAATGAATGGGGTCCCACGGTACAGTACAGTTGTTTACTGACCAGCTTTCTCTTGCTCAAAAATGAGCAGGGCAGCCACCACTTGTAAGCTAGACTTTCTACAGGTGATTTGTCACTACAAGAGAGCCTCTATCTCCATACTCCTCTGGGAGAAGAAAGGGACAAATGTCTGTTCTTTTTCCGACAGGGAAC